GAGAGAGAGAGAGAGAGAGAGAGAGAGAGAGAGAGAGAGAGAGAGCTGAGAGGGAAGGAGCAGCGGCAAGCTAGGAGGAGCAGCGCGTGGGGGCGGAGATGAGGAAGTGGGTGCTAGGCGCGGGCTGTGCGCACCGCTCGCTCCATCCCTGCCCCGGGCGCAGCCGGCGCGGGCGCGGGGCCGCTGCCCTCGCGCACAGCAGCACCAGGTAACGCAGCCGCAGCCTCCTGCAGGGACTCGGCTCGGGGCGGGGTCGTGGGTGGACTGGCGGGGAGACGGGACACGCGCTGCCTCGGGTTCCTGCGCCAGGATCCTTTGGCCGTCGTAGCCCCATCCGCAGTTGCAACCGGGGCCCCTCTGCTTGCTCCTGCGCCTGACCTTGGGCAAGTGCTTCCGCTCGCGAGCCTCAGTTTCTTTCTTGGCGACCCTCGGGGATCTCGCCCGCCCCAAAGGGGCGTTGCGACCAAGGAGAGCAGCCTGAGCCCACGCCCCTGCGAGGGATGTGGGGTCCACCTTTAGGTTCCCCGTGCCGGTGTAAGGTAGGTGTGGAAAGTCCACTGGCGCCGCAACAGTCCCTGCTTTGTCCCTAGTCTACGAGCTGGCATTTTCTAAGGATGTCTGAGGAGCACCGAGGGACTGTGTGCTTAATAAGGAGAATGCCAGTAGAAGGCCTGGGGCTGGTGGGGAGGGGGCTTCTAGGTTTGCAGAATGTCCTGCCTTTCCCCACTAGAGCAGCCACCCTGTGCCCAAGAGCAAGAACCTAGCACACCCGGCTGGGCACGACTCCTGGTGGACATGGGGCCAGGGATTCTCCTGCAGGATGAGTGGGGCAAGTGGCTTCAACTCTGTGGCCCACCGTAGTTGTTTGGGTCACTCTGTGACCTTGAACCTATGGGCCTCTGTCTTCTATAGTGAAAAAGCCCACTGTAGTTAGTGGGCTACCCCTTTGGGGTAGGTTGTGAGGATAAGGGGATGGGGCAGGAAGGTGCCTGTGAGCTTTGGTGTCCCCGAGTGGCAGGTGTCATATCCTAACTTAGGTGGCCCAAGAAACCCGTGGTTGTTTCCCGGAAAATTCATTTGTACATGTCAGGTTCCACAGTCCCCCTTGCCAGAAATGGACAACGGGAGGGGCCATGGGAGGGCCGTAAGCATGAAACATGGCCCAGCGAGCTGGTGTCCTACTGCCCACCCTGATGTACACCCTCAGCCTGATGTTTCTCTAGAGACATGACATGTCTCAGATGACAGTTCCTGTCAAGCCTCAGTTTTCTTATTTATAAGAGGAAGCTATTAATTCCTGCCTACTCATGAGTTCCCTGTTTCTAGAGGTTATAAAAAGTAATTGAATAGATTACATTTCTTGATATCGCTTATCTTGGAATATGAGGAGATTCAGAAATAATGAAAAAATAACCTTTCTCAAGCAGGTGCTCTGTGCAGGCCTGGTATTGGACGTATTTGGTATACAGTGGTATAAAGTGGTGGTTCCAGTTAATATAACAGCCTTGGGAGCTAGTGCTGTTCAACCCCAATACACAGATGAGGAAACCAAGGCTTGCTAAATGACTTCCACATGACAGGCAATGCCTGCTGTGGGATTAGACCAAGGCCTGCCTGATTCTAGAGTGCTTCTGATGGCACATTACTGACCCTAAAATATGACTAAGTAAAATAGACCAGTGCCTGGTACCTGCCATGTAACTTGAGCAGTGCTGGTTTCGGTTCGCAATAGGAAGAGCCACTATATCATAATGAGAAAGTGAACCCAAAGGTTGGCAATGAGGTGTGGATGCCTTTGCCAAGCAATTTCTATAGGGGTCTGAAAGGAGGAAGGTGAACTCCCACATAGGAGGCTGAGAGCAGGCTGACTTACCCCAGCCTGGTTGGCCAACTTCATCAGCTCTTCCCAGTTAATCTCTCTGTTGGTCCCCCAGTTTGGACTGCTTCTCTGGGGTCCTGGGGCAGGAATTTTTCCCTCTCTGTCTTAGGCTGATGACTAATTGAACTGACCCTCTCATTGGACATATCTATGGAGAATCGAGGCCAGCTGTGGTCCTTCTCCACCAGTATCCCAAGAAGGAAAAACAGGATTAAGGTCCATTTTCAAGGATTTAGTTCATCCTTGGGAAAGAAATCCCTGATAATGGGGAAGAGAGCTTCTTAGCATGCCAGAGAGTTTCTTCTGCCAAAAATGTTTTAAAGGACAAGTATATCCATATGAAATGACAGAGATATAAACAAAGGTCTCTCAGTTGCCAAGATATTCATCAACAGGCAGCATCTAAATGTCCAACAATAGGGACAGTCATGTGGCTGTGGAAAGGGGGAGGCTTTTCATGAAAGTGAGCGTGCCTATGCATTTGCATCTATTATGGCATGATCCCAACTTTCTGGCAAGAGTTTAGGGGAAAAAAGACAACAGGACAGAAATAGTCTAAAGGAGGTTAAGAACATTTGCCTGCACATGTTAGGATTAGGGGAGACACCCTCCCTGGGCTTTGCAGATATGCAGGAATGAGCATGTGGTCTAATAGGCAGCAAGCATAGGCTTGCCAGGCTCCTACTGCTGTGGTCTGACAGAAGCGAGGCAGGCATTATATGTATGGTTCTGTGAAAAGGGCATCCAGCCTGGAAGCGCATCCAGGTCCATCAAGGAGGCTGAGCTATCTCTAAAAGCAGTGTTTGCCAGATTGAATTTTTCACTACTTTTTATCCCCTGTCTTGTCCCCTTCCATTCTGATTCATCCTTGATCTCACTGTCAATTTGATAAGGCAGCGCTGAGAATGCTTTTCCCCTTGCTGAAATATTCAAAGACTCCCCACTTCCACATGAGTAGAGTTTAGAGTTCTTAGACCAGACCTGGACATATGTGGCTCATCATGTGCTGTCTCTGCCCCTCCCTACCTCCAGCTACCTCACCTTCCAACTGTGCCCTGCTCCATCTGCCATACCTAAACACAGCTGGCTGAACTAACATGGTCTTTCTCACCTCTTGGGCTTTGCACCTACACATTCTCTTGGCTGCGATGCCTCTTTAACTTGTTGGTCTTCTTGCTACTCATCCTCCAAGTTTCCACTGAAACCAGCTCTTCTGGAAACCCAGAGCTTACTGATAGGTTCCTCCTGCAGGCCTCCCCAAAGATGGGGACATTAGAACCCACTTACCCTCTTCCTCTCCAGCACCCAGACAACAGCAGGGACAGGCCTCTCCATGATAAGGATGCCTCTGTGTTGAGGCCTTGCAGGTCATTTAGAAAATAGAAGGGATACTTAATTAGCAACGCCAACAATATCTGACAGTTGCTGTACTCCTGTGTGTTCACAATTACCCTATGAGGTTAATTATCTGTGTCCTGTTTTTCAGAAGGTAGAGAAAGAGTCAGACACATTCAGCCACTTGCCTGAGGTCACACAGGATTCAACCACTGACTATCTAAGCACAGATCCTGTGCTCCTAGCCATAGTCAGGGAGGGTGGGCAGATCCAGTTAGCCAACACTGAAGCCCTGTGAAAAGCAAGGTGCCTCTGCACTGTGTAGTGCAGAAATTACTGCACAGTGACCTTGAAATGTCAGGCTTTGTGCTGCATGTGGGGGCCCGAGCGTATGGGAAGCTCACAGGCAGTAGGCCAGCATCACACAGGAAAAGGCCCAGGAAGGCTGCTGTACCTTCCACAGCCCACTCTACAACCCCTTCCCACAACAGCAAAGAATGATCCCATCCAAAATGCCATCAGCGCTGCGGTTCAGAAGCCCTGGGTTAGAAGAGAGGAGCTTCTGCGCACAGAATGCACCGAGTGCCTCCTACACTCTGGGGCTTTGGTCCTGCGCCTGCTCTGCTGGCCATCTGGCCTTCCCCTTCTACTCTGTTCCCACCAAGAACCTGGGTGATCTTTTAAAAAATCAAATTTACCAATTTAAACCATACAGGTCAATGGTTTTTAGGATCTTTTCAGAGTTGTGCAACCATCAGTACTACCTAATTGTAGGGCATTTTTGTCATCTCAGAAATGAATCTGTACACTTTAGCAGTCACTCCCATCCAGCCCCTGCTCATTAATCTACTTTGTATTGCTTCTGTTTTCCTCCTCTGGACATTTCATGTGAATGGAACCATGCAATATATGGTCTTTGTGATTGTCTTCTTACACTTAGTATAAAATTTTCAAGATCTATTAATGTATCATGTGTCAGTATTACATACCTCTTTGTGGCTAAATAGTATTCCATCACATGAGGAATTCAGTACCACATTTTATTTACCTATTCATGAGTTGATGAGTAGTTACTTTTTTTTTTTTTTTTTTTGGCTATTATGGAGAAAGTGGCTTGGACATCTGTAGACAGGCCTTTCTGGGGATACATCCATTGGGTTTATACCGAGAAGTAGAACTGTGAGGTCATATGATAATGCTGTGTGTAACCTCTGGAGAAATCGCTGGACTGTGATCCAAAGCAGTTGCACCATCCCTACTGGCAATGTACGAGGGTTCCAGTTTCTCTACGGTGTCTACTGGAGCACACCTTCTGGTGGGTGTGAAGTAGTGTCACTGTGCTTGGGACTTGCATTTTCCTGCTGGCTAATGAATTTGGAATCATTCGGTATGCTTGCTGTTTGGAGTCTTCTTTGGAGAATGGCCTACTCAGGTCAGAGTCATCGGTGCTGTCATTCCCTCCCTTGTGCAGACTTAGGCATCTCCACAGATATCTACAAGGCCCCACCCTATCAGCGCTGTCGTGGCTTTGGTGGCACTCTCCTCGCTCCCTCTCTAGTTCTTGGTACTTGCCCCTTCTAGTGCCCAGCAAGCCTGTGCATAGCTGTCCCAGGGCCAGCCTCAGAGCAGCCTTCTCTGGCCTTCTAACCTCACCAGCAGCCCTTTAGCCCCACTCTTGTACAGCTCAGAGTTTCCTGCAATCACTTCTTCCTCCCTGATAAGATCTTAAAGACCTGAGCTCAGGTCTGACTACAGCTTTATCTCACTGTATGAGCCCAGGCAAACCACTTCCTCTCTCTGGCCTTCAGTCATTGCCTGAGAAAACCACAGGGGGCTGTGGCCAGCTGATCTCAAAGGGCCTTTCCAGCTCACCCCTTATTCGATGCTGTGTGACACAGCCAGGTGGCCATGGGTCTGGGGCTGTCACAGTGAGAGAAGCATGATTAGAGCTAAGTTGGCAAGCTGGAAAGAGTAAAAGAGGCAGCAATACTTGG